TACACAGGCTACTTCCTAGGCGTTTATGGCTTATGAATTGCCCGCTTGTATATTGAGCAGAATGGCTGTTTATGACTATATACAGCTATAGTGAAGTGGCTATTCAAGGCCGTATATGGGGGGTGATTGCCCCAAAATTGGCCCGCCATTCATATGTATTAAAGGCATTCCAATAAATGCCTGCATATTGCAACCACGTAAATTGATATTTATTGTCTTCCTGTATTTTATGTATGTCATAAATCACCATAAATTGCCACATAATTTGTAGGTATGCATGTGAAGATTGTAAATTGAACAAGTGGTTCTATTAGAGGAGAAATCTAGCATACATAGTTGGAAGGAAAGGTTGGATGGGAAGGATGAAGGTGACCATAGGTTGGGTTGACCTCACTTGGGGGAGTGAGGCAACCATAGGTCAAGTGGGTTGGGTTTCCCACGCTTTGTAGAAGTGAGGCAACCCTAGGCCCACTTGGCTTGAGATGACCTCAATTGTGGGAAGTGAGGTACCCACAAGTCAAGAGGGTTGCATTTGGGGGCTCCACCACAATTGGGTGGATTGGCACCCCAAAGTGCAAGACTACACCCAAAGTTGGGTGTAGTCCCAACCCAACTGTACACCACAATTGGTGTACAGTCACAAGTGTTGGCATGCTACACAATATATATTTCTAACACAACCCCTTAGCATGCTAGCACAGGAAGAGAACTGTCAGAATCCCAAACACTAGACCATTGGGATAAAAGGGCTTGTTAAGTAGCGGGTCAGTGTGCCCATAACCCCCCAGGCCAACGTGCCTGTAACCCTTCCCTAGGATCAATCGGGGATCACCAGTGGACCTCTGACACCCCCCCGCACTGGGATGCCCGAAGTGCATACACCGGGATTCGAACCCGAGACCTTCGCTCTGATACCATGTCAAGACTCTAGCGAGGCTTAGGAGCCATGGTTAGTGAGATCGAGTAAGTTAAGTTCGAGGGTGAGGTGAATGTCGAGAAAGTTGAGAAGGAGAATGAGTGTTCACTATAGCAAGAGAGTACATATAGCAAACAAGTGAAGAAAGAGGTGCACCACCTATAAAGTTCATATCTACACTAAAGCTAGAACTACATGCAGATATAAGAAAATAGCTCTGACAAGAACAACCCCTGAATCAAGGGGCGCTTGGGCGAGCGAGACCAATGAGACGGAGGAAAGCGGAGTGCGCAGGGCGAAGGAGGGCCTTTGTGAAAATGTCGGCCAGATTGGCCTCGGTCCCAATCTTGCAAACGGTAATAAGGCCCTTCTGGACAAGCTCGCGGACGAAAAAATAGCGGAGCTCGATGTGCTTGGAGCGGGCATGATAGACGGGGTCCTCATTGAGATGGATGGTGCTAGCATTGTCGCACCAGAGAGTGGGGCACATCTGAGGAGCGCAAAGCTTTGCAAGAAGGAAGCAGAGCCAGCGGGACTCCTGAGCAGCCATGGTGCCAGCGTAGAGCTCGGCCTCGCAGGTGGAGAGAGAGATGGCGGAGGAGCAGGTGGAGCGCCAGCTGATGAGGCCGCTGCCAAGGGTGAAGCCATAGCCCTGGGAGGAGCGGAGGTCCGGCTGCGTGTTAGCCCAAGAGGAGTCACTGAAGCCCGAGAGAAGAGGAGGGGGAGGGCCGCCAAGGGTGAGGGCAAGGTCCTTGGTCTCTCGAAGGTAGTGGAGGACCCGCTTGGCAGCTTTCCAGTGCTCCTCAGTGTGACGACCGGCGCCGACGAAGCAAGCGAGCATGCTGATGGGGTAGGCAAGGTCGGGGCGGGTGCACATCATCGCGTACATCAGAGACCCAACGAGCTCGGCATAGGGGTGGGGGGAGGAGGTGGGGGAGGTGGGTGGAGAGAGTTGGTGGCCGAAAGGAAAGGGGGTGGAGACGGGCTTGGCCTGTGCCATGTCGAACTTCTCCAAGACCTGGCCGATGCAGTGGGATTGGGAGAGGGTGATGGTGCGAGCAGGGCGGTCACACGTGATGGTCATGCCCAGGTAGTGAGTGAGGGCGCCAAGGTCTTTGCACTTGAGACGCTGCTGCAGGGACAGCTTCATCTGCTCCATGTCGGCCTTGGTGTCAGAGAGCAGAATCATATCGTCCATATACACCAGAATGAAGAAGCGGCGGGGGGAGGTGCGGATGAAGAGGCTGGCGTCGGAGTGGGAAGCAGAGAAGCCGAGAGACCCTAAGGTGGCAGCCAGCTTCGCATGCCACTCATGCGGTGCCTGCTTCAGGCCGTAGACAGGGCAATGCAGCTGCCAGACAGTGTTCTTAGGGAAGGGTGCGTGGAACCCCAGTGGTCGCCGGAGGAAAATGCGCTCGTGCAGGTCACCCTGCAGGAACGCATTTGAGACGTCCGTGGAATCGATCTCCCTGTTGTCATGCGCACCAATGTCGAGGGCTGCGCGAAGGGTGGGGGGTTTGGTGGTGGGGGCGTAGGTGGCCCAGAAATGTGTGTGTGTGAAGCCCTTGGCGCACTAGCGGGCCTTGTAGACCGGTTCCTCGTTCGGCAGCTGCTTAACCCGAAAGACCCACTTGCCCTCAACAAGATTGGCATCGGCGGGGAGGGGGACGTCAACGAAGCAGTCTTTGCGGTTAAACACCTCGCACTCCTGGAAGATTGCCGCTATCCACTTGTCCGCGTCAGGGCAGGTGATGGCCTCTTGGAAGGTGGAGGGAGTGAAGATGGTGGGGGTGGAGGTGGCGCCAAGGACGGGGAAGCCAAGGAAGTCAAGAAAAAGGGTGGCTAATGGAGTGTGTTGCTGGATGGTGAGGAACTCCTTGTGAGAGTCCTCAAGGAGTTGAAGGGAAGGAGGAGGAGGAGGGGTCCCAAGGATGCGATCAAGGGAACGGGTGTGCATGCGGGGAAGGAGGAAAGGGGAGGAGCGAGAGGTGGCACGTTGTTGCTGCTGAAGCCGGTGCTGCTGCTGCTGCTGCTGCCGCTGCTGCTGCTGCTGATGTTCCAGCTGCTGCTGCTGCTGCTGCTGATGCTGCTGCAGCGGCTGCTGCTGCTGTTGCCCCGGCTGCTGCTGCTGTTGCCCCGGCTGCTGCTGCCGCTGCCCCGGCTGCTGTTGCTGCTGCCCCGGCTACTGCTGTTGCTGCCCCGGCTGCTGCTGCTGCCGCTACCCCGGCTGCTGCTGCCGCTGGTGCTGCTGCTGCCGCTGCCCCGGCTGCTCCTGGTGCTGGTGCTGCTGCACCGGCTGCTACTGCTGCTGACAAGAGGGAGAGTGATAGGAGGAGGGAGGGGAGGGAGGGGGTGCAGCTGAGTGGGCGGGGGAGATGGGTGCAGCGGGGTGTAGACGTCGGTAGAGGAGGAAGGCGGGAGTGGAGCGGCGACAGGTGGGAGGAGGGGCGCGGGGGGGAGGAGAGGTGGGAGGACGGTATCGGTCCAAGCGAGGGGGCGAGTGGGAGGAGGGAGAGGATCAGGGTGAGGAGTGGAGTAGTAGGGAATTGATTCGTCGAAGACGACGTCGCTGCTGCAAATGAGGCGGTTGGTGGGAGGGTGGAGGAACAGGTAGCTTGGGGAGTCGCGGTTGTGCCCAAGGTAAACGCATTCCAGGGCGCGAGGAGCAAGCTTGCCAGCGGCGCGGGAGCGGTCGGCGGGTGGAATGAGAACGAAGGCCTTGCGGCCCCAAACACGAAGGCCGGCAGCGTCAGGTTTGGCCTTGGACCAAAGGTTTGTGGGGGAGGAGGAAGGATGCTAAGGGTGGGAGCGGAGATTGAGGAGAAGGGCGGCGTGGAGGAGGGCATAGCTCCAGAGGGAAGGGGGGGTAGAGGCATGAGCCATGAGGCAGCGCGCAATTTTGGTGATCTCACAAATGCGACTCTTAGCGACGCCATTTTGCTGAGGGGAGTGGGGGAGGGTGGAGGTCTGCTGAATGCCGTGGGTCATACAGTAAGAGGCGAGTGTGTAATTGATGAACTCACCCCCACCATCAGAGTGAAGGCGGCCGATGGGGCGTTTGAAGTGGTTGCGGTACAGCTCAGCCCAGTTGATGACCACAGCCGGCACTTGGTCTTTCGTGTGAAGAAAGAAGACGGTGGAGTACTGGCTGTGGTCGTCGATGAGGAAGAGCATGTACCTGTGCCCCTGGCGGGAGCGGATGGGGTAGGGGCCCCAGAGATCCATGTGCACAAGGTCAATGGGGGCGGCGGCAAAGGTGGGATGACAGTGGTGGGGTGAATGTTTGAGCTTGCCGTGGACGCATGAAGGGCATGGGGGAGAGGGGGAGGAGGGGTGAGGGGGTAAGACGGGAGGAAGGCTGCAGAGGAGGCGAGAGGTGACTGTGGTGCGAAGGGCGGTGAAGTTGGGATGGCCGAGTCTGTGGTGTAAGAGGACGGCTGGGTGCGAGAGGGTAGTGGAGGAGGAGGAAGATGGGATGATGGAAGGGACAGGAGGGGAGGAGGATGATGGGGAGGGGGGGGAGGATACTTGAGGGGGAGGGGAAGGGGGAAGTAAAGGAGGGGGAGGTGGACCGGTGGAAATGCCGGAACGGGTGGTGACGTGGCAGAAAGATGGGCGAGGTGTGCGGAGTGTGTAGAGGTGAGTGCGAGGGCAAAGCGGAATGCGGAGAATGAAGCGACCAGAGGAGGTTTGGTAGAGATCACAGTAGTTAGCAAAGCCCGGGTAGATGGCGGTAATACGAACACCTTGAAACTCGCGGTGGGAGATAAGGTTGTTGCGAAGAGTGGGGATGTGGAGACCTGTGACCTTACCGGAGGGGAAGGCAGTGCAAGGGAGGGTGGAGAGGTGAGTGCATGGAATGGAAAAGCTGGAATCAGCTCCATGAACCTGAGTGGGAAGTGGTAGGGGGGTGAGAGTGCCAGCGTCTTTCAGTGCGGTTTCAGTGGCCCCACTATCAAGGACAAAGTCTAGGGTGGGGGAAGAGAGAGGAGGAGGTGGCACGGGTTACTAAAACGAAGTCTCATTGATAGCAGAGGGATACATGGAAGCGACGGACGGTGCAGCACTGACATTACCAAGGAAACTACCCGAAGTGTCGGGGACACTGGGGGGGGCAGAGGGGAGGGAACCCCAGGGGGGAGGGGGAGTAAGAGAGGCATGAGCGGCCGTGGCCGCTGTGCCGAAGGTAAGCGGCTGCTGCTGCCAGTGTGGCGGAAGGAATTGCTGCTGCTGCTGCGGCGGTGGCTGGAAGAACTGCGGCGGCGGCGGCGGCTGCTGCGGCTGGAGAAACTGCGGCTGCTGCTGCTGGTGGTGGAAGTACTGGTGCTGCTACTGCTGGCGCTGCTGAAACTGCTGCAGCTGCGAAGGTGGGGAGGGGGTAACCAGGCGGAGGTGAGCAGGAAGGAAAGAGGGGAGGGTTTGAACATCCACCAAGGAGGGGCGAGGGGTGACAATGTTCCAGCGAGGAGGGGTGCCAGTGTTACCTCGATCAAACCAGGCGTCGTCGAGCGCCTTGAAGCATGTGGTGGGGGGGTGGTTGGTTTGACCACACAGGGTACCAGCATGGGGACCATGGCGGCTCACATACGTGCATGGGGGTAGAGTTCCAGGGCGACCGCCTCGAGTCACAGCACCACCAGCACCGGAGGATCCTCCAGCAGGGGTGCTGCCAGCACCACCACCACCGCCACCCCGGCCACCACGGCCACGGCCACCACCACCCCCCCCACCACCGCCCCGACCTCCACCACCACCGCCACCAGCGCTACGACCTCCACTGCTGTTGCTGCGATCACCCTCGTTGCGCGGCTGTGTAGCATTGAGGGAGCTGGAGGAGGAGGACTGAGGGGTGGTAAGGTTGACTATGGGGGTGCGGAGCTTGACATCCGTGTCAATGATTCACTGGACCACGTCGTCGAGGCCGGCCATGAGGTTGGCCTCAGTGAAGGTGTGGAGGCGGGACTCGTAGTCCGGGGTGAGGTTGTAGAGGAGGTGATGGATTTGCAGTGGCTCGGGGAGGGCGGCTTGTCGTGCCGCAAGGCGATCAGCGACCTCCTGCATGCGCCCCACGTAGTCAACTGTGCTGTCACAGGTGGCGAGGGTGATCGAGAAGTACTGGAAAAGGGCGCCGATAGAGCTGATGTCGCGACACTCAAACATCGCCTGGAGCTTGGCCCAAATGAGGGAGGTGTGCATCTCGCGAGCTTGGAAACGGTGCATGAGGGTGTTGGGGAGTGCGCTGAGGAGGATGGTGCAGGCGCGGTTGTCAGCAGTGGCCCATGCGATGCTCTTGGGGAGGTAGTCTGCCATGGCCGTGGTATACTCATTCAGTAATGCCAGGCGAGTGGCGCGCTCTGCTGTTGCAAACTCGTGATGATGCACCGCAACTTCATGCTCTGCCTTGCGGATGAGGTACTCGCGGCGATTGTGGAGGAAGGTGGTATCGGCGGCAGCCTGGAGCTCCGGGGTAGCGGCGATCTCCAAGGTAGGTCTAGGAGGAGGAGGGCCAAGGGGAATGGGGGGAGGAGGGGGTTCACCGGGGTGAGTGGGGGCAGTGGGCTGGAGAGCGTGCGGGCGGCGGAGGAGGACGTCGAGGACGCAGTAGGGTCCGACGAAGGTGTCCTGGAGGACACGGCGGATGCTCCCGACGAATAAGTGTCAATTGATAGCTGAGCGGTCTGCGGCAAGCTGGACCTTGTCGACGGAGGAGGCGTCGATGGGAGGAGGGAGGGGGAGGGGGGCAGGAGGGTCGGTAGCCATGTGGGGGACAGCGGCAGGTGGACCCGCGGCGGTCAAGGGAGAGGGCAACGGCGGGTGGACCCGCGGCGGCCAAGGAAGGGGGGGGGGGGGGGGGGGAGTGCTGCTGCTGAGGCTGGCGCACTCCTCCGACCGCTGCTGCCGGTGCTGCCGCTGCTGCTGCTGCTGCTGCCGTTGCTGCCGATGCTGCTGCTGCTGCTGCCGCTGCTACCGCTGCTGCCGCTGCTGCCGCTACTGCCGCTGCTCCCGATGCTGCTGCTGCTGTCGCTGTTGCTGCTGCGGCTGCTGAGCTGTCCTAGCTGTTGCTACGTGGGAGGAGAGGAGAAGGAAAGGGGGAGGGGGGGGGGGAGGAAGAGGAAGAAAGTTGCAGCTGTGGGCGGGGCTGTTGCTGCCAAGGCCGCCGCTGCTGCTTGGTGGGGCGGCTGCTGCGGCGGCGGAATCTGCAGAGGGGTGGTGTGGGCAGGCGGGGACAAGCGGGCGCTGCGGCGGGAAGCGCAGGAGGCGATGGGAGGGTCGCGGTAGCGGAGATCGCGGGCGGCTGGCGGTGTAGTCGCGGCGGCGGAAATTGCGGCCGGGTAGTGGGGCAGTAGGAGCAGCGGGATGCGCGGGCGATGGCGCACGACGACGGCGGCGGGGAGGGGAGGCGACTGGCAGGCGGCGACGAACAGGTCGCGGTGGCGGGATGCACAGGCGGGGACGAGCAGGTCGCAGCGGCGGGATGCGCGGGCGACGACGAGTAGGTCGCGGCGGTGGGATGCGCGGGCGGCGACGAGTAGATCGCGTCGGCGGGATGCGCGGGCGGCGACGAGCAGGTCGCGGCGGTGGGATACACAGGCGGCGACAGTAGGTCGCGGCGGCAGGAGGTGCAGGCGGCGACGTTAGGTCGCGACGGCGGGATGTGCAGGCGGCGACGAGCAGGTCGTGGCGGCGGGATGCGCAAGCGGCGACGCGACGTCGCGGCGGCGGGACGTGCAGGCGGCGACGAGCGGGTCGCGGCGGTGGGATGCGAAGGCGGCGACGAGCGGGTCACTGCGGCGGGGCGTGCAGGCGGCGACGCGAAGTCGCGGCGGCGGGATGGGAGGCGGCGACGAGGCGTCGCGGCGGCGGGATGCGCAGGCGGCGCCGAGGAAGGCGCGGCGGCGGTAAGGGGAGGCGGCGACGTGACGTCGCGGCAGCGGGAGGGGCAGGCGATGACGAGGCGTCGCGGAGGCGGTAAGGGGAGGCGGCGACGTGACGTCGCGGCAGCGGGAGGGGCAGGCGATGAGGAGGCGTCGCGGAGGAGGGATGCGCGGGCGGCGCCGAAGAAGGCGCGGCGGCGGGAGGGGGGAGGCGGCGACGGGGGGTCGCGGCAGGGGGAAGGGGAGGCGGCGACGAGGCGTCGCAGCGAGATGCGCAGGCGGCGCCGGAGCAGGCGATGCGCTCGCGGCAGTGGGATTCGCAGGCGAGGAGGGCGCAATCGCGGCGGAGGGAGGGAAGGGCAGCACCGGCGTAGGTCGCGGCGAGGGTATGCTAGGTGGAGCCACACGTAGGAGGGGATGGCTGCGGGGTGGGCCCATGGGAAAGAAAAAACTTGAGGGAGGGAGAGTTAAGGCTTAGGAACAACTAGCTCTATACCATGTGAAGATTGTAAATTGAACAAGTGATTACATTAGAGGAGAAACCTAGCATACATAGTTGGAAGGAAAGGTTGGAAGGGAAGGATGAAGGTGACCATAGGTTGGGTTGACCTCACTTGGGGGAGTGAGGCAACCATAGGTCAAGTGGGTTGGGTTGCCCACACTTTGTAGAAGTGAGGCAACCCTAGGCCCACTTGGCTTGAGGTGACCTCAATTGTGGGAAGTGAGGTACCCACAAGTCAAGAGGGTTGCATTTGGGGGCTCCACCACAATTGGGTGGATTGGCACCCCAAAGTGCAAGACTATACCCAAAGTTGGGTGTAGTCCCAACCCAACTGTACACCACAATTGGTGTACAGTCACAAGTGTTGGCATGCTACACAATATATATTTCTAACAATGCGGGGGTCGTTTTTCACTATGTAAAGCACTGACATTTACTACATTTCCCATTGATATTCCCACCCAGCCATACACCAGTACGAATTGGAATGACTATTTATTCCAGTTAGCAGTTACAACAAATTAGTACACCTGTGTTGCTGCTCATGATACTAACACTTTATTACACTAACCCAACTAACTCTCTAATCTAGACTGCTAATGATTCTTGCACTAGAGGATCAACCCATCAAAAGCAGCCTCAAAACCTTCAATAAGAATCTTGATTGCACCACTGCCCACGACAAACCATGCAGGGGCTTTGTTGGTGTAGATGGCTTCACATGCTTCTGGAAGTGCCTTGATCCATGCAACAATGACCAGGAGTTTTGCAGCTACTGCAGCCCTGTTGTTCTCGTCAGATGCATCAAGGGGCGGGTTGGCACGACCGTTGTGGTTTGCCATGGGCAATTCCACCTGTAGAGCAGCACATTGGCATGAGTTCATATGTTTTACACGTTCACACGTTTTCATATTTGGAGGGGAGAACTTTCACAAACATACCACGTGGCAGATTGTGGCGACATCTGGGATTTTGACATTGATCCTATTGCATCGCTTGTCGCCAAGTCCCTTGCACAAGACAAGCTCAAAAGAGCGGTTGGCGAAGGGGCAGCCAAATCCGTCGCAGTGCCGATTCGAGCCGTACACCTCTGCCACGGGCACGAAAATAAGGATTTATATTACTCGGACAGTAGGAAGTGTAAACTACTTCCCTAAATACAAGCCAAACTCACCCTCACGAAAATATGTGTACCACACTGAGGTAGTGCGTCGTCTAGTGGGCGCAATGTTCTCACCCGCGAGCAGCGCCACTTTCTCTCACTAACAAAGCCACCAGGGCCATGGGCGAATGGCATGATCGCCAAACAAATGTTGCAGCAGCGCTCCGACATTTTCTGTAGAAGAATTTAATCACGCTCCAGATTGTAGGCCATCACACGGTTGACATGTTGTGAAAGAACAAGGAATGGAATGACAAGGTGAAATGTGGGTACAAGTAGAAAACCTAGAAATGTTGTACCCTATATTATCTACCCCACTACAGCCTGGATAGACCATAGCATATAAACTTGACACAACCCCATAGGCAAAGTGGGGGAAAACAAGAGGTTACAAGACCAGTCAAGCAAAGCACAGCAAGCTCAGGGTGGATCACAACGTCACCACACATTCCGAGCACAAGTTCAAGGCTACAAGGCCAGTTCACATGCAAGATTATATATATAAAGGTAAACAAGCAAGTGCAGGTATAGATAGATCACAGTAAAAGCAAGGTCAAGAAGTGAGCAAGTGAGGCAAAGTAGGCACAAGACCTAGCCCAACAGCTCCAGTACCTCCAGTACGAGCACCTCCGGGACCCGTGGCACCAGCACCCTCAGCAGTATTAGAACCTCCACCTCCTGCAGCACCTCCAGCTCCAGCAGCACGGCTCCAGCGCCGAGAAAACCACTTGCGCAGCTCCTGTGGAGAGGGTAGCTCCCGCCGGGACGAAGCACCCAAAGGACCTCCAGACCCAATACCGCCAGGCTCCACACGAGCAGGCCCAGCACCCTCAGGCTCCGCACCCCGTGTCTCAGCACCCCCAGACTCAGCACCCCCAGGCTCAGCACCCCCAGGCTCAGCACCCCCAGACTCAGCACCCCCAGGCTCTGCACCCCCAGACTCTGCACCCCCAGACCCCGCACCCGCAGGCTCAGCACCCCTAGCAGCACCAGAGTCAACAGCTACCTCGACAGGCTCGATTGCGTCTATCTGGGACACACCTGAGGGGGCAGGACCCCGAGGGGGAAGGGGGTCTACCGGGGGGGACCTGTCACGAGGAAGAGTGGTGGCGGGGGGAGGGGCGCAGTGCAGTAGGGGAAGAGACGGTAGTAAGGAACCGACTTGTCAAACGTGACGTCCTAGGAGGACAGAACACGGCGCGAGGTGGGGTGGTAAAACTGCCAACCAGGCGCGTCAGGGGGGAAGCCAAGGAAGACGCAGGGAACAGCACGGTGTGACAGCTTGTCCGCAGACAAGTCGCGGACAAAAGCCCGAGATCCCCAGACACAAAACGCTGACGCATCGCCAACCTTCCTGGTCCACCGCAGAGTAGGGGAGGTCTTCGGCAAGGAGCACCGGGGCTGAAGGTTGATCTGATGCGCCGCGTACTGAACCGCGAACGGCCACAGAAAATAGGGAGCAGCCGCATGGATCATGGACTTACGAGTGACGTCCATGACCATGCCAATGCGGCGCTCATCAATCCCATTTTGCTGTGGAGAGGCTGGAAATGTGAAGGTCTGGCGGATGCACTGTGCACAACAGAAGGCTCCCAGACGGGCAGAGGAAAACTCCCCGCCTCTGTCAGAGTGCAGACGCAGAACAGGAAAGTCCGAGCCGAAACTCCGCCTGAGCTGGAGACGAGCTGCGCGGATCCAGTCGATCAACACCCCAGTGACATCACCCTTGCTGCGCAAGGGGAAGACTGTGGTGTAACGCGAGTAGTCGTCAACCACCAACAGGAAGTAACGCTCGTGACCCTGGCCACGGACGCGGGCGGGGCCCCACACGTCCAGGTGAAGTGTCTGCTGCGGAACCTCTGTCGGAGGAAACTCGGAGGAGTGAGGAGCGGCGCGCTGCCACCCCTCGACGCAGGGAACGCAGGTAGGGGCAGGCCCCGGAGGGAGGGGAGGGAGGGACCGGGGGAGACCAGAGACAAGGTAACGAGAGGCCATGCCTCGGAGACGAGGCAGGGAGGGGTGACCAAGGCGGTGGTGCCAGAGGAGAGCCTGGTGAGACAGGAGACGACACGAGCAGGGGGCAGACTCAGGACCAGACATGGACGTTGCAGCTAACACCTGACCCGACGCAGCTACCTGACCTGACTCAGCAGCCGGAGGAGACTTAGTAGTCAGTGTGTACAGGCTCGACCCCGGCTTACGGGTAAACGTGGCCAAGTGTCGGCCCGTCCGAGCACACGTACAGTGGGTCACCTGATGACTCGCAGGAAAGAACTGGTCAACCCCACCATCCTGTAGATCAGCACCACTCACCAAGTTCGTAGAGAACGAGGGGAGGTTAAGACCTGACAGGGTGCCAGAAGGGGTCGCCGGGCACGCTAAGACAGTGGAGAAGTGGGCAAGGACAGGTTCCCCGGAGGGGTCCGCCAAGGAGACCGCAACTGGCCGACGAAGCGGCGTCAGTGTGGTGTGGTCTCGAAAGAAGGAGGGGGAAGCACCCGAGTCAAGGGTGAAGGTGTGGAAGGCTTGAGCCGACGTGGTACCTTAGAGAGCAGACTCACCAGCACCTGGGGCAGCACACGCGCTAGCACCTAGAGCAGCAGCCTCACCAGCACCTAGAGCAGCACCCTCAATGCCCGGGTCAGGCGGAACATACAGGTAACAGTCACCCTCATCACTAGTAGACACAACATACATGGCAGCAAGAATAGCATCATAATCCAGATCAAAGATAGCAACCCCCGACCTAAGCAGCTCGCCCCAGCGGGGGATCTCAGTGGTGTCAGGGAACTGGAGGCGCCAAGCGTCTGTCAGGCGGCTGAAGCAGCGCTGGGTGGTGTGTGGGCCACCGCACGGCTCACCAGTATGGTCGCCGGTACGCAGGACGTAGGCACAGGGACCAGCACCCCCACCCCGCTGACGCGCAGCGTACCACTCACGAAGCCGCTGGGGGGGCGGGGTCTCACGAGTGCGCAGCTGTTGCTGGCGCTGACCACCACCGAAGCCGCCCCGCTGCGCAGAGCCACCCCGACCAGCTCCACCGCCGCCGCCGCCACCTCTTCCACCGCCGCCACCGCCTCCTCCTCCGCTCCTACCGCCACCGCCGCCGCCGTCTCCGCCTCCACCGCCGCCACCGAAGCCCCCATCCCCGCCACCACTCCCACCGCCACCCCGACCCCCTCCGCCGCCTCCACCGCCACCTCCACCGCCCCCGCCAGCTCCTCCAGCGCCCTTGCCCCCCTTGCCCTTGCCGGTGCCTCGTCTCCCGCTAGGGGCAGACGCAGCGCCGACCGACTCGGTGCCAACAAAGTCAACGGCAGCAGCTGAGGCAACAGAGGGCAAAATGGGGGAGGGGGAGCACCCCTCAAAGAAGGGGGCACGAGGGTCACCACGAGAGGCTCCTACAACGACTACACTCTTCTCAGCTGCCAGGAGGCGCTCCTCGAGGAGGTCAACGGTGAGTGTGGTGGGGCAAACAGAGAGGAAGTGGTCCCTGACCGGGCGAAGGGAGTCAGGGAGCCGGGTGACTATGTAGTAGAGGGTGATGTACATGGGGGGGGGGGGGGGGGTTCTTGGCGCAGAACTCAGCAGGAAGCGCAGCGCGGTAGCGGGTGTCACTAGTGCGAAGGTGCGTAATGAGGTCAGCGACTGTGGGAAAGGCGGCGAGGTCAGGGAACAGGTACGGCAGCATGAGGCGGCTAAGGGCAGCAATGGCAGGGGAAGAGTAGCGTGCAACCACAGCGTCGCACAAGGTCTTAGCACTCTTGTACTGACTAAAGTACGCGCGCTCAGTGGACGGCAGGTGACTACGCACAGCAAGACGGGCAGCACCATCGCGTGTGGCCCACTGTGAGCGAACAGTGCTGTCAGCATTGGCAGTAGGGGCAGTAGAGGTGCCTGACGTAAGATCGAACAGTGAGTGACCGTCTTTCCTATCGCACTGCAAGAAAAGCTGCAGATCATCGACCCAGACCTCAAAGTCGACAGCGCGACCCTCAGCATCAAAGGTGAGAACGCTAGGGGTAGCCATGACAGCAGCAGTAGCAGGCTAGCAGCAGTAGCAGCAGGCTAGGAGTTGCTCAGTAGCAGAGGCGCGGCTCGGCGGTGTTCTTACCAGGGCGGGTGGGTAGAGGTCAGCAAGTGGTGGGGCAGGGCTGAGGCGCGCCGGCAGGGACAGGGCCGCGACAGGGCGGTAGAGGAGTGCCGCTCCTCTCTGGAGGGAAGGGCCGGGACGGCGGCGGCGGCTCCTGCTGTCGGCAGCGGCGGCGGCCGCGGCCCCGGCAGCGGCGGCGGCGGCTGTCACGGGAGCGGCGGCGGCGGCTGGTGCTGGCGACGGCGGCGGCGGCTGCGGCTGTGACGGCAGCGGCGGCGGCTCCTGCTGTTGGCAGAGGCGACGGCTGCTGCTGCAGGGGCGGCTACGGCGGGGCGGCAGGGCCGTGAAGGAGCCGAGAAGGGGCCGCTGAGGAGCCGAGAAGGGGCCGCTAAGGGCGGCGAAGGGGCCACGAAGGGCCGTGAAGGGGCCGCGAAGGGCGGCGACGGGGCCGAGAAGGGGCCGTGAGGGGGGGCCGCGAAGGGCGGCGACGGGGCCGAGAAGGGGCTGTAAGGGGCCGCCAAGGGCGGCGACGGGGCGGAGAAGGGGCCGTGAGGGGCCGCCAAGGGCGGGGACGGGGCCGAGAAGGG